AACTTTTTTTTAAACACGCTTTTTTTAAATGTACTAAAAAGTAAAAAAAAAATTTGTTCAAGTACTTTGCATAATATGTTTAATATACTCTTGTAACTGACTAAATAAAAGCTTGGGGCGTTTAAATAAATATATTTTTATGATAGAATGTAGTATTGTCATCAGTATGACATAAGTATACCAAGTTTCGATTTAAAGATTTCGTGACTGCAGGGATTCATCTTCTTGGTTCTTTCGGTAAAGTCACGTAGAAGGGAAATAATAAAATAATAAAAATAAAACAATAAAATATACCAAGTTTGCAGTCGATACCACATTGGGAAGTGGGTTAAATTTGAGTTGCAAGATTTGAGGATACAACAACAACGACAACAGACAGAGGGAGTTAAGTAATACTAATAATAAAAAGCGTGTAAATAAAAAAGAAGAGCGACAGGGAGACGCCTGACCGCCGGTAAATCGGCGTCTGCCGAATCATCGCTGAGCACGACTCCCACCAAGGATTCATATTCTTAGGTTTTTTCGGTAAAGTCACGTAGTTAAAAAATAATAATTAAAAATTTCTAAAAGAAATAATAGAAATAAAATAAAATAATAATAGAAATACAATAAAATAAGAATACAAATTTCTAAAAGTAATAATAGAAATAAAATAAAATAATAATAGAAATAAAATAAAATACTAATTTTATTTCTATTATTACTTTTAGTAATTTTAAATTTTATGTTTTACCTACGTGACTTTACCGAACAAACCCTAAGAGTACGACTCCCACCCCCACCCGGCACTGCCGCTCGCCCAATGCGACGTCCGCTCGGCCCGCGGGACGAGGGGCGCGTCTCGTGTCTCGCGTCGGGGACTTCAAAGACGCACCCGCGCGCTTCCTCTTTTGCGTTTCCCCACTAATAAGCCGTTTGTTCGGCGGGATGTGACTCGTGTAGCATTCGCGTGCGCCGGCACCCTCCGGCACGCTGTGCGTGGCCGTTATCTAGGAGGAGGCCGTGGAGGAGGATTTGGTCGGAATATCGCACCGGATCGTACCGCGCGCGGCATTTGCCCGGGAGGCCGACCTGAAACTTTCAGCGGCGTAGCCCTACCGTGGTGGCGAGATGTTAACCACCTCGCCTGGTGTGCAGGAGGTCGTGAGGGTTCGATCCCGACCCTGACGCCTGCTGTGTGTCTCTCTCTCCCCGTGGTGGTCGCGTGGATTTTTCTCTAGGCCCTGCGGGTTTTCCCTCCACATTTAGAAGCAACATCACGCGTTTAAAGTATTTGGCTGCTGTACATGGTAAGCCACTTCGTTGAGCAATCGTTTGTGATAGCCAGGTTGAAAACTATCAATGGGGCTTATAAAGAGGTATGGGGCCATCCATAAATGACGTCACGCGATTTTTTACGATTTTTGACCCCCCCCCCCCCCATTGTCACACGGCGTCACAAAGTCAGATCCCCCTCAAATATGACGTCACAAAGCTCTGCCCCCCCCCCACCCCAAAAAAAATAAAACATGCTTCAAATGGCTTTAAACTATTGTCATTGTAGTGCGTATTTAATGTGGCGCTGCACTCTGATGTTGTAGGAGAAAACATTTATTAGAAAATCTATTTAATAAAGTAGAACGTGTTGTCTATATTTATTTAAAGTTGCGCATTTTGATGTGACGTCACATTTCTCAACCCCCCCCCCTCGCTACACATCGTCACAAATGTCTCACACCCCCCCCCCCACCGAGGTGCGTGACGTCATTTATGGACGGCCCTTATGTAGCTGAGTGGGGCCTTAGCCTGGTAAAAATTGTATTTTTTTTAAATAGTTGAAGTCCTCATAGAATTGTTGGTCTGAGGTCCCCGCGCCGCGCTCAACCCCAAGTATGGTAAACGGTGTCGAACATGAACCGCGTGTTTTTCTTTTGTGTAAACTCACGCGGCCCGTGCGTAAATCAAAACCTTCACAGAGTTTACGCACAAACTCGCAGACAGCTCGCACACGGAGCCGGTCGCCTGTCGGCTGCAGAAATTGTAAACGCGGTTGATGTGTTAGGGCACGGTGTTGATGGCGGTGTTGATGGCCTTGTGTGTGTGTGTGTGTCCGCTGTTGCTGTGGAGCGGTAGTGTCGCGGTTCGAGCGCTGCGCTACGAACCCGGCGACCCGAGTTCAATTTCTCGCTAACAGCCAACACCAGTGACGATTATCTGAACTGGTCGTGGGGTCTCCCCTAGGTTGACTCGGCCTCAAGTGAGTACCTGGTGCGGTGTGTAAACATCGCCACTGGGGAGACAAAGGCAGCCGGGCGTGGTGCTGGCCACCCACCCCTTCGTGTGCCGTCCCGGCCTTTATAGGTGCTCGCGAACAGCACTTGCCTCAACAGTCTGGTATGAGCTATACGGGGGATCTTTGCCTTTGTTTTGTTTTTTTTGCTGTCAACGACCAGAAATGAATTGTTGAGACCACGGCCTGGCACAAGGTGCACGGCGTGCGTCTTGTTGATTCTGTTTCAGCGACGCGTTCTTTTTTTCACGAACAAATCGTTGCCCCCCCCCTTCCGCGCAAAACTTTTCACTGCCACTCGTAATCACGCAAGTGTGGTCTGTCGGCTCTGGCCGCGTGTTCAGAAATGTTTCTCTTCAGCTCTCACCATGCACTACTCTTCAGGAGTCGAACCGAATCGCACTTCAGACTATGTATTTATACTGCAGGAGGATTCCGATGAGATTTCGAGCTTTTTTCTCTCACAGATGTCCAGTCAGGGCGTGGGGTAAGAACGTCGCAACAACAAACAGCACAAAAACACGACAAGAGTGCAAAGCACAATAATGGTAGACAAATCACCCAAACACATACTAATATAACTACACCATCCTACCAGGCAAAGCCCACTGAGGTGAAAACTTATTTTTCATGTACATTTATAGCACCAAAATAATCTAAATCATCTCAATGCATGCATATAAATGTGGGAGGAAAAACCAGAGGACCCGGAGTAAAAAATCCACGTGACTCTAATCTTTATTCCCGTTTAAGTTTTATTCTTTAGTGTACATTTTTTTCCTTTTCACGTTCATTAAAAGCCAACGGTGTTCAACATGAAAGAGTACGATTTGATTTAAGCATTCACAGGAATGAGTCATTTGTGCTCATGACGCTCAGCAGCAGCACTGTATTTTGTGTTCGGCTGCCGTGATGATGTCATGGCACCTACTTAAGGACCCGGATCAGGAAGCTCTTTTCACACTAGAGCTGAGCTCTTGTTAACACCCGATGATGATGATGCTGCTGCTGCTGCTGCATGTAATCTCCAGCGAAACGTTGTTAATAAAAACAATTGTCAAAGATTTAGTTTGCCTTTCGCCATGCTGCATCGCACGGTTTCGGATGCTCTTTTGCGGCCGTCTGGAACGCTCTTCCGATATTAAGAAGCCACTGGAGGAATGCACTTTTAAATCTAAACTGAAAACTAATTTCTTTAGAACTGCTTTTTGCGTTTAGTTTGTTGACCACGGTTTGCTATGTACGGTGCAAAAGAAGTTCAACACACATGGATAACCAAATGAAATGGCATATTTGCCCATGACGTGGCAACTTTATTTTATTGGCTCTGTTGCTGGGTGGTGGAGGGTTTTCGTAAAAAAATGGCATTTTATACCGACGTGGTCTAACCCAAAAGAAACTAACAATGAATAAAAACGTAAAAAAAGTAAAAAATTTCTTTCATTTTTTTCAAGTAAAATTTCGAGTCGTTTGTCATTCCACTGCTGGATGAGGGCCTCTTCGCTCAATGTCTGTCGTAGAGGTCGTTTCACCATACCTCACCGCTCTACTCCTGTCTTGATGACGCCTCTGCGGGGCAAGGCCGATCGTTGCTGGGCCCGGAACGTTTTTTTTCGTTGTCTTTGCTGGTTTTGCGAGATCCAAATTTTTTTGCGTGTGTTCCGGAAACTAACAGAAACTGGAAGAAGAAGCAAAAAACGCAACAAAGAAATTCCATTATACTCGCAACGGGAGATATTTCCTGGGATTTGTTGCGCCGTTGCAAACCGATGGGCCCGGTCGTCTGAATGAGACCTGGGGTCAATTATGTAATCCCAGTTATGGCGGCCATTGTTAGCTGATATTACCATTACATTGCGGACCACAATTCATTACCAGTCACCCAATTACAATTATAGTTGACCCCAGCCCTGGACTGAAAGGGTGGAGCAGCACCCTGTACGCAGTTTCATCGTCACATCATCGCTCCTCCTCCACCTCCTCCCGTGATTTCATCTGCAAGCCGATAGGTGCTCTTACGTAGCGGTAAATTAGTGACCATTTTTTTTTTCAGTTCATTGTCTTAGTCTATTTGACGACTGCCTTCTCTTTGTGCAATCTAGTCGACTAAATCACTTAAACTTTAAGTCGTAATATTCATACTCACTAAATGTTGATGTGAGGGGCATTTTATTCCCCCCGCCCCTCCCCCCTCCTCTCCGGAGCCCCTCCCCCCACCCCCCTCAATTTTACCAGGTCGGCCAACCTTTGAACTCGGTCATCTATTTGTATACACATATATAGTCGTCTCTAGTAACGTTACGAAATTATCTCAGTCAGCACCTTCGTTTAGACCACAGTTAATCTCTTCTCATCCTCGTTACGCTTTGCTCTTTCATGGTTAGTCATCGTTATCATCATCGTCAAGTGCTACGATGATGATGATGATGACGATGATGTAGCACTTGATTTTCATCCACTCGTAGTCGTCGTTGACTATAATAATAATAAAACACGGAATATTTTTGAATTGCGAAATCGACACAGGGGCGCAACGACTTTCCCGATTCTCTGTTTGCCGTTCGCGACGAAGCATTCGGTGGAGCTGGCGGACCTGTCCTCCGGACGACCGCGCCGGTGCACGCGACCCACGCGCTAACCGATGCCGTCTTCCTGCTGCGCGTCTCTTTGAACCCCCTATGTCACGGCGGCGACGGCGGCGGCGGTGGTGTCGACGGCGGTGGCGGAGCAGCGAGAACCACATTGTCCGCGTGCGCGCAGTGGTGATGACGAGGACGGACGAGGGCTGGGTGTCGCTGGCCGGCGGCGGCCTCAGCCAGGTCAGCATCTCCCGCCTCCTGCAGCTCGACGAGAACGGCCGCAGCGACTTCCTAGTGCGCGGGGAGCGCATCGGGGATGGCCTGGTGGGTGCGGCGCGGCGCACGGCCCCTCCCAGACGGACGCGCCGCTCGGACTCGCGGAACTCCCCCTGTGTGACGATCCCCGGCGCGACACTCGTTGCGATTCGCGAGCCCGAGCGCTCTTGGTCGCGCGGCAGCGTTTTTGTACGTTCCTCCATCCGTTGCGCTCGGGTGACGGTGATCACTCCAGCCCCACTCGCTCGCCACCGAGCATTTTCCGTTCTGCGGTTAATTAAAATATCAATAATAATAAATGATAACTATTTGTCAATCTGCACCATGTGACGTCGCGGGGGTGTTGTTTCGCCGTACTTTTAACACGCTGGCCGGCGTGGATTGTTGAGGTTGGGTGCCCCACACCGAATCGGATATCACTCGTCAACTGATGTTAGCTGTGGCCTGGAATCAAGCTCAGGTTGTGCGGTTCGTAGTGCGGCGTGCGAATCACTGCGCCACCACGGCAAATGCCCTCTGTTTGGATTGGTAACCACTGCTCAAAATAAGTCTTGGCCAAAAAATCGCAGCACACCCAGACCAAGTGCAGCAGCTCCGTGTAATTCCACCCCCCCCTCCCCCCCCCAATAATTGGGATCAAATTGCTCGGCCCTTGGGCCACATGTGGCAAGCAGAAACACCCAGAGATGCTCGCAAAAAAATTAATAAAGCCACCGACCCCCCCTGACCCCCCAACCCCCCCGATTTTGAACCGCTCTTTAGAGAGTCGTGTAAACTCCACTCGCAACAGCTACCGTGGTTCGCATGCATCGGTTTAACCCCCCCCCCCCTTTTAAAATGACACTAATAGCTGCGTAATTTATCTTTCTCTGATGCAATAATTACATTATCCCCAAATGAATTCTCGTGTTACGGAAAGAGACTTCGCTTTCATGTGTGTGTGTTCTTTTCTTTTTCCCGAAGATGAATTGACCTATTTTTCAAAATACTAAAGGACTACAAATGAATATCATAGGCACATTTAGAAGACTACAAAGATCTTCCCGGTGCTGTGATTTATTTGAATAAGAATGAAGCCAACTCCACGTTAATGCAGATCAAATTGTTGACCTGTAAGTTATTTTTTTCTCTCCTCTGAAATAAAATGTTTTGTCCACCCCCCACCCCCCGTACATGTTGGTTTGGGGCTACTTTGGCTTTTCATGTTATCTCGATTTTTTTTGCCGATAATTTTTTTGGCAAAGCAACAACTCTGGGCACAGACCGTCATTACTTTTAAGCGTAAAAGTCTCCCCAGTAGTATCCCTTTGAAGGATGAAAAAGAGAGGGGGTGTTTTGGGTCGACCAAAAGCCCCCACGGTTCGATTGGGGAGCCGTGATTTTAGTTTTTTTTGTTTGCGTATCAAAAGGCACCCAAAGGTGTCGAGAGAAATTTAATGCAAAGGTGGGGGGGGAGTCTTTTTCCAGCTGGGAAAAAAAGGCAAATTCACACGTGCTAGGCGATGTGTTTTAGGAGGCTTTTGCATTTGTAGAGGGGAAAATATTTTCAATTTTTGCCACGAAAGTTGAAATACGTTAAATGGTTGATCAACATGGAAAATGTATATTTTTTCTTTGGTAAACCTAAGAAAAAAATGGGATTCTTTTATAATTACCCATTCGAATAGGTAACATTCTCTGCAGTAGTTTATGTGTACGAGCCACACGTGCCATTCTGTTTACCCTGATTTGGGACTCTTTAACACCCTACCTAAAATTACATATTAAAGACAATATTTTCTTGCATAAGCTCGTTAATAGAGATGCCTTTGTCCGTTGCTCAACTACAGGCATCTGTGCCAAGTCGCTGTTTAAATCCATCGCTCTGAGATTATTTTCCAATTTCATGGCCGGAGGATCCAGGTACATTTTTACGTGAACAGGAAGTTGACTGGCGAGGAATTTTTTTTCGTTTTTTTTTACTTTTCACGTCCGTTCATCCAGGAAAGCCTCGCCAGAGTGTCAAGCCTTTTTTTCAGGACGGGTCCTGCCAATTTTTCACAGAAGGGGGGGCGACGTTGCTGCGTCGAATCCCAATTGAGTAATCTTACCGGCAAATTTAATTCCCGCATTGGGATGTGCTGGCGAATAAATCTTAAGTAAAAAAAAAAGTGTTTCTTAATGTATTTTTAAATGTTCTTATTGATTCATACATTTTTATTTTATTTAGCTATGGGAGGAAACCAGATAACCTGGAGGAAACGCATCCAGGACGGGGAGAGAGGAGACTAATTCTGCACAGAATAGCGCCTGAGTCGGGAACCGAACCCAGGAACTTCTTGTTATGAGGGAACAAGTGTTACCGTTGTCGCACGCTGCCCGTCTAACTCGCGTGTGCGCTCGCTCGCTGGCGCGCGTGTGTGTGTCGTGGCGCGGCCAGGTCTTGCTCAAGTGCTTTCTGAAGAAGAACCTGGTGTACACGGTGGCTTCTCCGACTTTCCACCACTGGATGATCGACGACAAAAAATTTGGGCTCTCCTTCCAGACGCCGGCCGACGCGCGCGCGTTCAACCGCTGCGTGCGCAAGGCCATCGAGGATCTCGCCGAAGGTGTGGGCCGACGCGCCGACATCCACGGCAAAAGATAACGCCGTGTTCTTTTTTCGCGTTCGAATTTAATAACCCCGGCGACGTGGTCATTTGCGTGGGGTAAAATGCGCGTGTTACGTTACGAGAGATGCCGCCGCGATGCAACGTTTTTTTGGCCTACTCTTCCAAGGTACGCCCTTGGATAAGGGCGGGAGCAACCCACGCGTTACCCCACCGCATGCCGCCTGTTTAGTCGGCTTGCTGTGGTGTACCCCTTTAGACTGCTGGTTTCTACCTTCTGGAGCCACGGGTGAAACGATGGGCAGGTTTCTTGAATCTCCCCCCATTGCCCTGGTAACGGCCGTCCATTTTGGGGGGGGGATCACACCACGTGGTTCCCCCGACCCCTTCAAACTAAACCAGCAGTGTTAGGTCTGACACCGTGACGACAAAGCGCGGGGCCCGGGGTGGTCGCCCCGATTCGCCGTCGACCCCTAGGGGGAACGGCTCTGGCCCCGGGCCACCCAGCAGCGAGCATCAATCGAACGCCGCAATGTGGACCCCGATAAGGGGGACCCCCCACCCCCCCCTGCTCGCCCTGTTATCCGGTTAAGATCCGGGGACCCCGATGCCGACTTAAGGTGTGCGACTTTTAGGCTGGGTTCTGCTAGGACCGGTAACCATAACATTTCAACTTTGTACCTTTCAACCGTAAACAACGGTTCCCTTATACCAAGGACCCCTACAGTGGGTGACCCTGGAAATCTGAGACTCCCCCCCACCCCCCCCCCATAACAAGTATGTTAAGCGCCTTGATCAAAGGCGCGTCATAAATGTAAACGAAGGTAAGAATAAGATTGACGGGTGCAGTTAAGTCAAGTGTGGGTACTCCCACCGCTTTCAAGACGTCTGCCCAGCATGGAAGAGTAGGCCAAAAGTATCCTGTGGAGGAGCTCTCCCTCTAGCGAAGGCCCTTCTCCCCAGCAGTGGCATGAGCGAGCAATTGCAGGGCTGCGCCTTTACCCCACAGCAGTCTCTCTTTAACATCCCTCTTCACGGTCTGTCTCTTGTCATCCCTTTTTTTGTACCCCCCCCTGACCCCCCAACTCTAACCCCCCCCCCCCCCCGAAGGCTCCACCACATCGTCGTCAACCAATCAGAACGAGGCTGAAATTGGAGGGGACGACGATGTGTTTTCGGTGAGTTCTGCAAAGTCTTTTGCGATTTCACTTCTCACTTCGAACGCCTCGTCGGATCAAACCGCCGTAGATGCTGGGGGGGGAGGGGGGGGGGTTCGTACCCCGGGCCCGTAGCCGCCATTCTCCGTTCGTTCGGCGGGGTTCTCAAGTGTGGTGCGACAACGGCGGCATCAGCCTGGTCACCGATCACTGGGACACAACAACAACCACAACAACAACCACAACAAAAAACATCACGTGAAATTAGTTGGTTTGCTGAAATTGGATCTAAGAACTATACATTAGTTTTATCGGTATGCGACAAACTTAATTTTCAAGGGCGTGTAAAAAGGTGTCCTTCAGAAGTAGTTCTGTGACGTTATCTTCCGGGGGCGGTTTTACCATTACAATTTGCCCCCGCCACCTGACCCAACACACCCTCTACCCAGACACCCCTCACTTTTGTCTCTGCGCCGCGGGAGCAACATGAGCGAGTGCCACCATTAGCTGGGAAAGTTGAAAAGTGGGAGGCAGCACGAGCTTCAGTTTCTCCCTTTCTCTCTCTCGATTTAAACCTCCGGGTTGCATAATGGCACCCAAACGCGCGGCTTCAGGCGCTGCCAAGCGAGGCCTCGGACCTTAAACGCCTGGACCCCCGCGGTCAGTGTTTAACCTTTGCGGTCGGGGAACCACAAGGACTTAACGGTTCCGACCGTAGCATCTTCCCGCGCTCAGAAATAATGCGGGCGTCGGCACGGGCTCGTGAGCTGGCGCAGCTGCAATACCCGGTCGGCTCCCCGCGCCCTTGTTGGCGGGGTCGCCTGGTCCTACGGCGGGCCAGGTTGCTGGCTCCCGCTGTGAGTGCGGGCGGGCGGCACAGCGCAGCGCGGGGGTCGCGGTGCTTGGCGGAGGGTGGGGGGGGAGGGACTCTTCTTCACCTCTCCAAGGGCAGCGCGCGCTCTACCGGAGCTGCTCACCGCTCGCCGGCACGAGGAGTTGAGACGTCGCCCGAGCTCACCGGGTGCTCTGCGGGCGCGTCGTACACACGAAGGCACTCGGAGGCGAGTCCCGGAAGAGTCGTGCGGACGCGGCGTACATGCAGACACGCGCGGTGCCGGCACTGTAACGCCCGGCACTGGCCCCTCGGGAATAGGGTCACTCGCGGAAACGCGAAGTGAGCGCGGGGGGACAGGGGAGGTGGCGGGACGTGGGCGACCATACCGCCCGCTACGAGGGCACGTCCGGCTCAGAGGAGGCCCGCTCTGCCAGGACTCTGGGCGCTCATCGGCGCACTGCAAGAGAATTGATGAGACGCCGCCTTCGTCGGAAGAGATGGAGGGGCGGTTGTTTTGCCCCTTGCCGTCCGCATGCCGCTACATCCTCGCCCAACATCGCAGCTGCGCAGTTGCTGGTGTTGTAGAGGCTGTGACCCCAACAGTGCAGGCTTCGTACCCGCGAGGTTGAGCGTGCGGCGGACGATGCCAACCAACGGATTACGCTACGTCCTTGCGCTGATGTCGGTGATGTAGAGGAGCCCCGGCGTCTGCGTCGTCGAGACTTGCGGAACGAGGATGGCGGTGTGCATCCCCCGTCGACATTGACTTCTGAGGAGGACGTCGTTGGGAGCTCCTGGATGTGATTCGATCAGCGACGAGCGTGCACGCAGCTCGCGCAGCAAGTATTGCAAAAGCGACGTCCACCACAGGGAGGTCGCAGAGGAGGATCTCTCCGAGAGAGACGGGCCGCTCCATCGCTCCTCCCTGCCGCTGTTGGGTTCCCTGCAGCAGCAGCAGCAGAATTAGGCAGCATTGGGCAAAACTGGCCGAAGCCGCGCGTCCCATTGTGCAACCTGGACGCTTGCTGACGCCATGCCATTGTTTTACCACCACTGTCCATTATGCGGACGCCGCCTCAGTGTCCGGGCTCTTGTCACGTTTAGCCGGCCTCGCAGAGCGCCTCAGTCACCTCCTAACTCTGTCGATGGGTCACTCGATAGCGAGTTCAGGTGAGGGGGTGGGGCCATCGGGCAGCCGCCACAACGATGAACATTGCCTCGTGCGCGGCGCACGTGGCGGAGTTTATCCTCAACGCCGTGGGAGACTTTGAGTACCATGTGATCGCAAAGGGGGCGGCACTTCCAAACAGGCCTCCCAAGGCATTCGGGACATTGCGAGGCTCAGGGTGGGTGCCGTCGCCACGCAAGCCTCCAGCGGCTGCGCTCGTGAGCAGGAGAAGCATCCGGCTGGAGGGGTCAAAGTTGACTGCGAGCTCCGGAGCTGTTGGGCGCCGTGACATCCAAGAGGCCGCGGTTGGACGTTCCAGCCAATTGGCTGGAAACTCTTTCTAACCATACAAACACCGTGCTCTTAGCGGTGATTACAATGGGCAGGAGCGTAAGGGAGCCACACGCCTTACTTACTCACCCCCCCCTCCCCCCCCCCCCCATTTATCTTGTATCAGCCAGACAGGGTGGTAACTGAGGATCACGGCTCGATTCCTGCTGAAGGTGGCGTCCACTTTTGTCACCTTCGGTTGGAGTTGGGTCTACCGACGCTGTGGCCGGCACCATTTGCTTCCGAGAAGCTGAGGAGGCCACTCGATACTTTAGATTATTGCTCGAGCCCTCAAGTTTTACCCGCAGTGAACGCCGCGTGGCAGCTTGTTCATCTCGATCAGCAAAAGCGTCGAGGGGCGAGCAAAGCCTCGTAAGGCGAGGCCGTCCATGTTGGCGGAGGGAGTGCGTTGAGCGTTGGTGCAGGCGCGCAGGGAAGCAGCGCCCCCTGCCCCCCCCCTACAAACCTAAAGACACATTCCACCAGGGCCGGTCGCAACCTCGTGGACTAGAGCATCCAATGTTATCCGTTGGAGGAAAATCTACAAGGTGGCTGACGTGGAAGTACACCCCCTGCCCAAAGCGTTTTCTCGGCCACTATCGATTGGATACGCTCACCTCGCAGGACGCCGCCTCTGGCGCGGTGTTGACGGCACCTGTGTAGGGAAGGCCCTGCCCCCCCCCTCCTCTGGCACGTGCCAGCTTTGGGCACGTGTTGCCAAATTTTAAGAAGAGCTGTGGGTGCACGGCAGCGTTGGGATGGAGAGAAAAAATAGGTTTTGTACCTGGGTACAATAACAATCAACAGATTTTTCCATTCAATGCCGCCATCCACAGGGGATCACCCACCCCCCCCCCCAATCTATGTCCGCGTTGGGCGTCTCCTCGATTCAGGCAGGAGGCCTGGCTCCCGAGAATCTGGGGGGGGATTTAGGTTCGGCTTTTTGTCCACGCCAGGAATTCCCTCCTGCTTTTGCTGATAATGTCCCAAGTCTCCTCACGGGTAGTGCTTCACAAGGGGGTTAATTCATGCCCGTGGGGGGGGGGGGGCGGTTTGGGGGGATGTCTCCTCTCCCGTTACTCCACTCCAAGTTGTCCTTATCTTATGTTCCATCACGCGAACTTCAGTCATCCTCGCAGTGGCTCTCGGCTGGCCATCGAACAAAGACGCTCGCCGCATCGCGTGCTTTCAGATGCGCTTCTGCGGTCGTCTTGAATGCTCCTCCTTCCGATATTAGGAAGCCACCGGAGCTGGGCACTTTTTCATCGAAATTGAAAACTAATTTCTTTCGAACTGCTTTATTGTTGGCTACATACGGTGCGAAAGAAGTTCAACATACATGGTGTAGATATTTATATTTGTTCTTGTGTATCTCTACCTTGTGTTTTGTATGTATGAATGTTGAACTTTTTTCGCACCGTGCTGATCAAAAGTCAATGTGGTGTTCTGTGTAGCAGGTGGGTTAAGTCAGGTGGCGAGGGCGGAGACCCTTCTCTGCACCCGTTCCGTGGCCCTGTGGGATTTTGTTAATATGTATATAATAAGAAGACTGGTGGACAGTGGAATTGTAATGGTAAAAAAGTTTTTTTTAAACCAAGGTTCAGACCCTAAATCTTCCTGACTTAGAGGTGCCGTCGCGCTGCTCACTGCGAGATTTGGGGAACCGAATGAAAATGTCTTCATCTCGTGATAGGACGTTGATGGTACAGCCTTAAAGTATAATTAAAATAAACCTTCACGAAGGTGCACACTACCACCACCACCACCACAGTCTCGTGTGTCCGATACACAGCTGCCAAATGTCCGCGCAGAGTGGACGTAGTTTTCAAAGTGCCGTCATATTTTAGAGGTGCCATCGCTCTTGACTCGCAGAAGAGCGATTTTGTGTCCCATGGCAGAAACGGGGTTCCGTTCGCGGTCGGGAAAGTTCATTGCCGGGGCGCTGTCCTGCGTGCGCGCGTCAAAACTCTCGGTCGCGTCGGCACCTGGCGCCGATCGTTGTGGTTTTGTCTGTACGTAGGGTGAACTTCTTTCGCACAGTACGTAGCCAAGCGTGATGATCGGAGGTGCGGTGAGCACGGTTGGTGTTTCGCTTCACGTATAAAGTTGCGCCCTTGAAAAAAAATACTCTCACAGTAAAGTATTTCTTTTTCGACCTCGCAAATCATTCACCGGCAAAAATCAAACAAGGGCAAAGAACGATGTCATCGCAAATATTCGCGAGTGGCCGGAGAGGTGCACTGCATCAACACGTGACTTTCATAGCCCTTGGACAGAGACATTCAATGCCGGCTGGTGTTTTTTCCAGGACACGTGTGCGCAGGACGGGAAATATTTGTGGGTAGTTGTTCCAAACTCAGGCAGTTGAATGGAGAAGAGAATCCGTTCGGTGTGAACGGGTCCCCCTGGGCGGGCCCTCTCTGTCAAACGGCCACGTACAAATTTCAACGTGCGTGCGCACACGTGTGTGTATGTGCTCGTGCGTGCGCTATCCTTAAGCCGAGATTTCCCCTCCTGTGCGGAATAGCAATAACCGCAAACTTAGCTCTCCTGGTCCTGCTTCTCCTCCATCACCCCTTGACGTCAGTAGAACGTTTGCAAACCATTGTGTCGAGCTCCCTGTCTGCGTGCGCGACCACGTCGTTCCGACGTTCGAACAACTTGTAACGGTGGTTAAAAAAAGATTAGCCGAAAAACAATGCGCTCTAAACAGGAAGAGAGCAAAAACATCGCCACCTTGGCCGCCGGTTATTTATATTTGCGGAGTTGTGCACGTGAGCGTGCCGGCACGAAGCCCCGTATCCCATCATTCATTTATTTACTTTTCCGCAAAATTTTCGGGTGGTGACGGCGAGGCCAGGCCGTCGTGTTCCTTGGGAGCGGGGCCCATTTCCCTCCGCTGCCTTCCTCTCTGAGAGCACATGCCACCACCGAGAGCACATGCCACCACCGAGAGCACATGCCACCACCGAGAGCACATGCCACCACCGCTCGCAGGAATCTCCAGTTAAACGGTTGCAGCTGTGCCCCGGCGGCACGCGGCAATGGAATCGTCGCCGTCATCAACATCGTCGTTATTTGTTACAATAATTAATAAATGAAGTCCACTCACATTTTTTTTTAAGACGGCTGCAACAGTGCACTCTTTGTCACGGGGACCTGCGCTGTGTGCCCGCGCACACTTGTGTAAGCGTGGTTTGTTGATCCACTGCTGGATGAGGGCCTTCCAATCCTGACCAACTCCCCCGGAACCTAATCAACTAGCCAAATCGGCCACTGGTACTAGCTCTATCCCTAACCCTAACTCGGCAAACCAGTCACTAGTACTAGCTGTACCTCTGCAGCCCTATGTCAAGTCACTGCTGGATGAGGGCCTCCCACCTCCGTGGGGGTTATTTGACCGTGGTTCACCACGATCGTCAGGGCGGGTTGGTGATGGCTGGGAGCAGAGGCGTGGGGGAATGGAGTGCAGTACAACTATGGCATTGCTGCCTCTGTTGCCCTCAACATCGCCCCCGCAGCCTCTAAACCTGTTGTGCGAGGCAGTCACCCACCCCAAGTGCTACCCCTTTCCACTCGTGTCTAACGTCGGCGACGAATATCCGAACCGGTCCCGGGCCTCCCCCTGCTTGGCCTTAAATCATTATCACTGGTGCAGCGTGTAAACGTCAGCGCCGGGGAGACACGGCTGGCACCGGGCCGTGTTGCTGGCCACACCGGGCCACCTCGTGCACCGTGCCGGCTTTAATAGATTGCTCACTAACAACATCACATGATGGATTCTTTCGCGTGAAAATCTGCCCCATTGTTCAGCCGCCCCTCCCAGGCGCAGCACCGCGACCGTGTGAGCCGCTGGTTTGCGTCGAACGTCGGCAACCGCTCTGCTGCAGCGTGTGCACGGGCTTCAAGGGGAACACGGCGGTGGCTTTTGTGTTTTACTTATTTTTAAGGAGACTCCGAAAGGACGCGGCTTCTGAACCCCCCCCCCCCCCATCCCTTGTGCGTGCGGCCAATTCGTGTCACTGCAAACAACAGGGCCCTCTGTTATTGGCAACGGAGTTCATAGGATGTTGCTAAAGTTTTTGAATTGCATTAGTGGGTGAAATGAATTAGGCTCCCGTGTTTGGTTTAAGATGAGTCCCAAGGCGATAAACGCCGCTAGTTACGACTACAAAGACACAGAGACGAATATGCCCTGTATATCCTTAATAGGCAGTTGGGGTGTTCGTGTGATGTTAGTGAGCGCCTATCAAAACCGGAATGACGCACGAGGAGGTGGCACGGCCAGAACCGCGCCCGGTCACTTTTTCTCTCCCAGTGCCGATGTTCACACACCGCACCAGATACTCATTTGAGGCAGAGTCGACCTAGGGGGGAGGCCCAGGACCAGTTCGGATATTCGCGATTTGATGTTGGCCAAGGCCCGGGAATTTAACTCTGGGTCATAGCGCAGTGCGCCGACCACTGTGCCACCGCTTCCCTGGCTAGACAGACACACACGTGCAGACAAAGCCACCACAGATGTGACAATGGAGGCTCGCTTCATGGAGTGGCATTCCGGCTCGTTGTTGTTTTGTTCCCCCTTTTTGCGAATTATTTTATCTTTTACCCTGGCACTGCCACGCATGATAATGATGATGACCTTCGGCACGTCCCGAATGCATTTCCCGTCACACTAAAATCTTAACGTTCCTTAGAGCTACAATGGCAATTGGTGTGAGTGCGTGAGTGCGTGTGTGCGTGTGTGTGTCTGGCGATCGGTAGTGTAACGGTTAGCGCACCTCGCTACCAACCTGGCGACCCGAGTTCGATTCCCGCTCACGGCCAACACCGGTGACGATTATCTGAACCGGTTCTGGGCCTCCCTTAGGCCGACTCAGCCTCAAATGAGTACCCGGTGCGGTGTGTAAACATCGCCACTGGGGAGACAAAGGCGGTCGGGCGTGGTGCTGGCCACCCACCCCCTCATGTGCCGTTCCGGCCTTCATCGTAACTGGCCAACAGCACTTGCCCCAACAGTTTTTAAGCCTATACGGGGGGGGGAATCTTTGTCTTTGTGTATATGTTTGAGCACGTGTATATTTACACGTGCGTGGGCGTGTATAAATATATGACTGCTCACCCAAAGGATTAACAAAATGCGGGCGGCTATTCTTGCGTAAACGCCCGCGGTGCTCTGCCGTCCTTGCGCCCGCCACCACCTCTGCCCACAGTTCTTTTCCTGTACTATAAAAAAGTGCCTTCACGAGGCAATGGGGGGGCGGCGGCGGGGGGGGGGCAGAGGAGCGCTTCATCGCCGCTGCCGGATGGGCAAAAAATGCCGCGAGGCAATCGTCTGGCGGGCGGGCGTCGTTTCCCTTCCACCAAGGAGCAGCGCGAGTGGGCGAGCAGCGCGCTCGCCGCCATTTGGTTCGGCGGAAATAAATGCGAGGGGCAGGCCGAAGTCCGGCGTGGGCAAGGGATTTGACGAGTTTTCTCGAGGCCCTCGCCTGCCGGGAAAGATCCGCGCCGCTGCCGGTTAAGCCTTGGCGGGCGCTGCTTTCGTTGGAAGGCGCTCCGTTTAACAGATACATATTTAACAGATAAATTATTTAGCGCGTAAATAAATCACGCTCGTTTTTTTTGCCATTGTCAAAGCGCTTTCCCTGATTTATTTAATAAAAAAAAAAACAGGTGATTAATTATGGAGTTTCCTTGGGCGCGATCGCGCTGCGTGATTTCGGGTCTTGCATTTGAACTTCCTGAACTCCTCTCGCACGTAGCCAATGCAAAAAAGCAGCTCTCAAGAAATGAGTTTTCAATTTAGCTCGGTGCCCAGCGTCCCGCTGCGTGTGCTGACCCGAGTGAGAATCAGAAACTTTATTGAGACTACAAGAGGAGGAACCCGATGAGCTCTGAAGCTCTTTTTCACAGATGTCCGGTGTGGGCTGGTCAGCGAGTTACAACAGCAAACATTACAAAAAAAATACGTTAGGAGTGCAACATAGAGAAAAAGTTAAGCAAGTCGCTAAATATACATGACTAATAAATACATTGGTTATAGAAGTCGGATTTATCAAGTTTGGGCAGGGCAGCAAAAATGACAACGAAACAGTCCCAGACCACACCAGGATAACACCACAGCAGTAGTCCCGCAATAAGATGGCACATCAGCATTGAGCCGTCGATACAGAGGCAAGGATCAAAGTTACGGATCACGTTCGCAGATGTGGTCGCATCCAGGCCTGACCCGGCGCGAATGTTCGGCTCCTGAGCGAGTGACATGGAGTGAATCGTCGGACACCACACAAAGAGAGGCGCAGTTCTGCTTCACCAGGTTCCTCTTTTTATTCGCTGAGCGTGTTGCCCCATTTCCTAAATTTAACAATTTTTATTTCACCAGGTAAGGCCCACTGAGCTGTCTAGCTCTTTTTCAGAAGCAACCTGGCTATCGCAAATGACAGCCCAACGAAGTGGCTTATCATGTGGACATTTCTAGCAGCAGCCAAATAGTTTGACACAGCCAAATACTCTAAATGTGTGATGTTGACTCTAAATGTGGAGGGAAAAACCGGAGGACCCCGAGATAAATCCACGTGACCACGGGGTAAAGATGCAAACTCCAAATATACATCAGGGTCGGGATCGAACCCGCGACCTCCTGTACACCGGGCGAGGTGGTTAATATCTCTTAGCCACCGCGGGCGCCACTCTGCCTCACGCCCGGCTGCAACGGCGAGCAGTTTCCGCTGCTTCCCCAGCGCAGCCTCGTACGAGATTACACTACAACGGCCAGGTTTGTGTTGGCGGTTGTTATCAGCCATTCTTTACTGATGAGTCCCGTGCCTTCATTCGCACAAACCAACATCAGATAATTCTCCCAGCAATACTGGTACGTGCTTTTTGTTGCCTGCAATCTCTTTCAAAACATACAATGAAGGGGAATGCGTGAAAAATTTTTCTCCCTTGCATGGGCATCGGATCTCTGAGTTTTGCCAGCCCTGGGATTTGAACCCAGCTTCTCCTTGTTTACGTCTCAGGAAGTCCACACGGGCATAGCCTGTGTTGAGGCACACGAGGAGTACTCACTGCGTCTTTCAGTGCGTCCGTGTAAACTACCAACGGGGTGGAGTCGTGGCGCAGCGATTAGCGTACCGCACTATGAAACCCGGCGACCTTAGCTTGATTCCCGGCCACGGCTAACACCATCAACCTGTCCTGGCTCGCGTGGCGGAGTATTGTCACGCAGCCCCCTGTGACCAAGAGGCATGTGAAGTGAAGGCCTTCATCCAGCAGTGGATTGATAAAGGGCTGTAAAACTTACACTTTGCATGCAGGCCGCGAGCGGTGTGGCTAAAGTATGCGCGGACTCCCATCTCTTTCAAAGACGTTGGGCCGGTGTGGAAGAGTAGGCCAAATAACTGTCTAGAGGGGCTCTCTTGAGCTCCCTCTGGCTGGAGGCCCTTCCCCCAGCAGTGGCGGGAGCGATACAATGCAGGGCTGCACCTTTACCTTCTAAATTGTACCAACGCTAATGCATAAATGCCGCATATATATAAATAAATACACATCCTGGGGTTGTCGGTGATTTGCGGCCGCGTGGCGTCAGAACTGATCCCGCCGCGGGTTTTGTCTCCAGCCCAGTGTGGAAGGCACTTCTCCCGCCCTGGCGAAGAAGGACGGGGGAGGGAAGGGACATCAGGCGACGGTGAGGAGAGGGCCTGGGGAGAGGAACACGCGCGCAGTGAAGAAACACACGCACACACACGCATGCGTGCGTGCCCAACGCACGTACCATCACGGCCATGGGCACGGATGAAAGAGGGACACGGAGATTTTGTACGGATTAGACGGCAACTGAAAAACCACACCCCCTGTATTTGAGGAGGCCCATCGCTATCGCTGTAGGCCCCTGAAATGCGCCGTTCGTGGCCTCACCGTCATTGTGCGTGGTGATCGGCACGTGCGCATGCTCGGAAACTAAAAACCGGACGGTGCATTAATATTTTTAAAGGCGGGCAGCATTATGCATTTACATCGCTCCATCGGATGAGAGATCACGTTCTCAAAATTAGTGATCAACGCGCTAATTTTTTTGCAGTGACGAATACACACCACTTACAGAATTGCCTTCAGTTTTAACTTGTGATGAGTTCACGGGGGGTTTATTTATTTATTTGATACGACATCGGACGCGTCGCAACGGCGTTCTCTTTCCGCGCAGAAATCACCGAACGCATTTCCCACCGGTGCCGAACGGGGGGAGAATCCTGCGTGCGTAGAATCTCGGCGAGTAGGCCCAGTTGGCATCACGCCCCTGTGTTTGTGTCCGAGTGTAACACCCCCCCCCCCAACTCCCCAGCGATGTCAGACACCACCACTGCCTTCTCGATGAGTCACGTGTGGATGGCGGTTCATGGTGTCCGATGGTCTGGCGGCAGGATGGCTGGGCACCGGTGGTGACGCTGGCGCCTCGCAGCAAATAAGTTCCTGGGTTCGATTCCCGACTCGGGGCGCCTTTCTGTGCGGAGTTTGTATGCTCCTCCCCCCTTGTTTTGCACGAGCTTCCTCCGGGGTTTTCCGGTTTCCTCCCATAGCTATATATATATAGCTATGGAAGCGTGTTGGACTTCGCCAAGGGTGCGTCTTGTCTCCACTCCTGTTTGTGATTTTTCATGGACAGGATATGAAGGCGCAGCCGAGGCATGGAGAGTATCCGGTACGGGGGCATGGAGGTGGCGTCGCTGCTTTTTTGCGGATGACGTTTTCATCTTTGCCTTGTCAGTCTGTGACCTCCAGCGTGCACTTGGACGGTTTGATGAGGATCAGCACCTCAAAATCTGAGGTCCATGGCTCACTCCCGGGAGATGGTGGATTGTTCTCTCCAGGTTAGGGGGGAACAGCTGTACTTAGTGGAGTAGTTTAAGTACCTCGGGGTCTCTTTCGCGAGTGACGGTAAGTGGGAGCAGGAGATCGGCTGGTGGATCGGTGCAGCGTCCACGGGGTTGCGGGCGCTGTCCCGTTCCGTGGTAGTGAAGTGGGAGCTGAGTTCTCGAACAAAGCTCTCGGTTTACAGGTCGATCTTCATTCCCACCCGCATTTTTGGTCATGAGCTTTGGGTAATGACCGAAAGGATGACATCGCAGGTACAAGGGGCCGAAATGAGGTTTTTCCGCACCGTTGCCGGGGTCACTCTCCGTGATCGGGCGAGGAGCTCGGTAATCCGGGAGAGCCTCAGAGTCGAGCCGCCGCTGCTCGTCCGCATCGAGAGGAGCCAATAGAGGTCGTTCGGGCTCCCGGTAAGGATGCCCCACCCGGTAGACTCCCCCTGGAACTTTACCTTGCAGCACGTCCCACTGGGCGAAGGCCCCGGGGTTGGTCCAAGACACGCCGGCGGGACTGTGTCGCTCAGCTGGCCTGGGAACACGTGGGAATTCCCCAGGAAGAGCTAGAGTCTGTCGCCAGGGAAAGGAAGGTCTGGACCGCCCTGCTCAACAAGCTGCCGCCATGACCCTCACCAGGAAAAGCGGACTGAGAAACGAACGAATGAACGAAAATATTTAAAAGAAGAAAAAACAACGTAACTAGTATTGGATAAACATTCCCTGGTGCTGAAAATGTGTCTGCAAAGTAATTCGGTTGGGTTTGCAGAACACAACATCAACCGCGACTGTGAAAACTTGGCAGGACCCTCCTGAAAAATAGTGTTGAGACTCGGTGTGACTTTCCTGGGTAAACAAGGTTTGGAGTAATAATAATAACAATTTCATTTCTCAGCATTCCTGTGGCCATCACACTGAAAGTTATGAAATAACTATCCGCTGCACTTGATTTATAGAACTAAATGTTGTTTTTTCTAAAAGGTACGCAGTGTGTTCATGTTTTTATGAGTAACATTTCATATTGTTGCGAAGTTGCTATGTTTCACAGATGGGTATAGTCTGCCAGTTGGGTGGGTTGTGGGTAAATATATATTTTTTCCTTGGTAAAAACAGACCGTCTGTTTTTATTTATATGGGAATAATTCAAATTTAGAATAATTCAAATGTATAATGCACATTCCATCTTAGGATCCAAATGCACAATGCATGAAAAGCAGGAAGCAACAACAGATCAGGGAAATCGACCAAACTAATGCTATACCCCCCTCCCTCCCATTGTATAGTCTGCCAGTCGGGTGGCTGGCGAGTAATTGTTTTATTTGTCAATGGTATAATAGACACGTGCTTTATTGTATTGGTATAAATATTATGTACGTATGTTCAACTTTTTTCCCACCTTACGTAGCAAACCGTGCTCATCGGCGGTGCGGTGGAAGCACAACAATCTGAACATAAAGCAGTTGTAAAGAAATGAGTTTTTAATTTATAAGATTTAAAAGTGCATAGCTCCCAGTGGCTTCCCAATATCGGAAGGAAGAGCGTTCCAGACGGCCGCAGAAGCGCATCTGATGCTGTGATCATCTTTGTTCGATTGCGAGCCAAAAGCTGCCGCTGCGAGGACGACCGGAGTTCATTCGACGGTTGATGCTCCTTGACGAATTCTACCCTCGTATATTCTCCTCTTAACAGTATCTCGTCCATCAGAGCGCAACGCGTCGGCAGCGCCGTATCGACGGGGGGGCCGGGGGGGGGGGTGTTCGTGACGCGTAGGGTGCCCGAGCCGGGTTTTCCGGCCGGCCGTCAGGAGTGTGCTCTCGCCGTGTCTCTCGCCGTGCAGGCGCGCGGCAAGCTGGGGCGGCACGTGAGCTTCCAAGACGAGGACGAGGAGGACGAGGCGGCGCAGGGCAACGCGCCCGAGGAGCGCGGCCTCATGGGAGTGCGCGGCGGCTACGACGACTACCGGGACGCGGCGGCGCGCAAGCGCGACCTGCAGGCGCTCCAGGGCCACTACGTGCAGGTCGGCTGCAAGGGGGACGGCAAGAAAGCCGAGTACGAGCGGCCGCGCGGCAGCCCCGGCGAGGCCGAGGCCGAGAAGGAGGAGCGGGGCTCCGGCCGCTTCGGCAAGGTGCCGGCGGCGCACCACCCGCAGCAGCTGCAGCTGTGCGAGCAGCAGCTGCCGCAGCAGCAGCAGGCGCGCGAGGAGGAAGGGGTCGCCGGCGGCGGCGGGGTGCTGCGGTGCAAGTACTGCCGCGCGGCGTTCGACCCGCCGGGTAACCGGCGCGGGGGCTGCCCGGACGCGCCAGACCCTGCCCGTCGCTGCGTGACGGCGCTCAGTTGCATGTGCGCCGCGGAGAGCATGCTGTACCACTGCATGGCCGACCCCGAGGGGAACTACTCGGACCCCTGCTCGTGCGAGACGGGCGGCCACGAGAGGTTCGGCCTGCGCTGGGCGGCGCTGGTCGCGCTCTCGCTGCTGGTGCCCTGCCTGTGCCTGTACCCGCCGCTGCAGGGCTGCTACACGTGCGGGAAGGTGTGCGGCTGCTGCGGGGGCAAGCACAAGGCGGCGGGCTGAAGGGAAAGCCGCAGGCCGTAAGCCGTAGCTTTGGAAGTCTTTCGGAAGCCTCGTGAAAATAGAGAAGGCTCCGTTGATTAGCCTCCGGTTTTAGCCGGGCGAGTTTTCCGCGCTGGCGAGCGCGTCGGCCACTTACGGTAGTTTGTTCCGGCTTTCGGCGACGGGCGAGTCCGAGGGTTGGTCGCAGTCGGATGGGGATGGTCCACTCGCGCTCTGATGGTTACACAAATAGGGTGTAGTGCTCAGTTTCGCGACCGGTTTAATTCTAGAAATATTTGCGGAGGGTGTGTAAAGAAGAAAAAAAGGAAACTTTTTTTTTTCATGGAAAATAACGTTTGGCTTCAGTGGTAGTTTCGTCATCGCTCTCACCATTTTGAGTACGCATTAATTGCCCTCCCCAGTCGTATCTCACCAACACAATGCCAGGGTGTGCGTACTGCACGCAAGCCGTTGGGAGAATGCCGTTCTTGTTTTTCTTGACGAGCCCCCTGTACACTTTACTCTCCGCGACGTTAGATCACTTGTGTTGTTTTTCAGCCCCCCTCCAACGTTTGTTGAGTCCAAACGCCCTCGAGCCCGGCTCCTCCCATGTCGATCGCCTAGCGCAGTGGTTCTTAACCTGGGGTGCACGCACCCCCTGGGGGTGCACGCACCCCCTGGGGGTGCACGCACCCCCTGGGGGTGCACGCACCCCCTGGGGGTGCACGTACCCCCTGGGGGTGCACGTACCCCCTGGGGGTGCACGCACCCCCTGGGGGTGCGAGACGTGGACAGATTTTTGTCAGAAGGTAAATCACCGAGAAGGCAAGTTAAGCACGGGCACGTAGGTACAACAACTTTGTTTCATCAAACCCTGTGTGTTTATTCACATTGTACCTTTTTTTTACAATTGAGAACCAAAGGAGGGTAGGGTGGGTGGGGGGTGTGCAAGGCTGCAGCAAAGGTTAAGAACCACTGGCGTCGAGGCTTCTTTGGGAGACGTTCTGCTGTGGGTGGACGGATGGATGGATTTAAGCAAAACAAAAGAAGACGTGCAAGAATGGTGTGCAAGTGTTGTGTCTGTCATACTTACTTGTCGTACATAGGCGCACTTGATAAATGCCACAATAGTTGCAATTAGAACACCCAGGGGCGGTTGCACTCTCAGGCGTCTTGCTGTGAGACAGCGCATCGGTAAAAAATAAATTGCCGCAAATTAAAGGATTTCCTTCCCCCATGCCCCCCCCCTCAATCTCTTAGTATCGATGAACCGAAACAACTCACACGGTTTCCAAATTATCACCTCCTACCAGCTGTTAAAACAACTCGCGAGCATTTCGTATAGAGACCTCGTGTGTATCAAGTAATTCTTCACCAGTTACGACCAAAAAAATGTAAACCCCTGGACTCGGAAGTGTCCATTTTGAGTGTTCAGTGTCGATCGGTATTGAAATGGCCCGAGCCTAATCCTCCTCCGCTGCCATCATCGTTTTGCCGTTGTCCCCGATTGAACTCCCCGTTCCCAGCGGCGACTGCACTCGGAAGTCCCCATAGAGTGACCCAATTAACCTCGTCTGACAAGCGGCTCTGGGTTTAACCGAGATTTCCAGAAACTTAGCGGAGCCAAAGTCCTTGGATGAACTCCGATGAGCACTCGACGCGGCGCACTCCCCGGCCGACGCTTCACTGTCTATTTTGCGCGTGCGATTAAGAGGCTCCGCGGGCCAGACTACCCTGCGTGAGCGACGGAGCCAAGGAGACGTTGGCTCGCAGTGCCGCCCGCGCGCTCCGATTTTGCCGCACGCCACTGCCGAGCAGCGGTGGCCAAGTTTTTCCTGCAAGTTAATGGGGCCGCGCCGCGCATCCTGGCTGCAGATATATTAGGGAGGTGATTTGGATATTGCACAACGAGGGCATGCGTACAATAATGCATACGAGAGGGGGGGGGCGGTTTTAAATGTGGGTTGTTAAATGTGCGTACAGGCTCTTGTTTTCACTATCAACCTGTATAACGGCTCTTGTCAATCCACTGGCGAACAAAGGCATTGATGTTTGGCAGCAGAGGGGGCAGTGCAGAAAATCCCCTGTTGTTGTGCTGTACTTTTTTGCTCCCACGCCTATGCATTATTTGCATGATTAGCGCACAAATAATGGGAATATAAAAATTAATCTTCAACACGATGTCAGTGCAACTCTTTTAGTACCTCAGTTCTCAACGCGTTTCCGCCTGGAGTGTAAACCTGTGTATGTGAATCCCTTAGGGGGGTGCGTCATTCGTAAACGGATGTCGTTTTTTTTTCTTTTTTCGGTTTGGGCACAATCGACGTGGAGCGCGCAGCGCGCACGCGCTGGAACACCGCCGCGCTGCGTCGGCGTGCTGGCGGGGGGACATCTGGTGTGCGATGAACTCTACGGGTATCCGCCAGCGACGTGCCCCACCTTTGCGTTGTTGTTGGAAACTTCGCAGCGGCGTATTTTTTGTGCAGGGTGTTGGACGTGTATGTTATTTTTTCTTTTTGTTACCGCAGTTCCTTTGTGGTTTACGGAGAAGCTAAGACACATCTGAGATCTATTTTCCGGGCACTTTTCACACCGTTAGATTTTTAATTATTGTTGTTGTTGATTTTATTTTCTCCTTACAGTTTATTGGAGAGTTTATGTCTCGCCCGTGGGTTTTTCATCACATTGACACAATCCGTCACGTTGAGTTGAGGTGACCTGTCGTACTTGATATCATAACTTTTTTTAAGCGAAGTATAAACTTTTCAAAAGTCCAGAAAAGGTGCGTAAGATTCGAGAGTTCACTGCCATTTGCTTCTGTTTAGAAAACAACAAAAGATATATTTATTTCTCTTTAAATTAGATGCCCCACATTTAAGAAGGGGTTGTAGAAATTTAGATATTAGACTTGAGAATATGAGATTGAAAGAAGCTATCTGTAAACTTTAGCTCTGTATGTACTGAAAGAATTTTGTCAAAAATATTTTAAAAGTAGATTTTATAAAGCCAATTGGAAGACGGGGGGGGGGGGTCTCTGAACTACAAGCAGCCCGGTGTACATATTGTTTTGTAATTCCAAATAACTTGAGACGTTCTTTGACACAAGAGAGGGAGTATGCGCTGTATATAGTTCTATGTTGATGACGATGATTCCGTGTTTATCCTTGGTAGGCCCCTGAGAGAGCGGGGCAGCCGCTTTAAAGAGTGGTAGTTCCTGAGTGAAGGTGACATGAATGCAACTTCGGTTTTAAATTATTAAACGATTTCCTTAGACCTTACTGATGTTTGCGCCTTACAGTTTTAACATTATCGATTGCCTCGATCCTTTCGGTTAGTTTCTAACAGGCAGCCGGCTATATCGTCGGACAATGCTTTCGTTTTGTTTTTCTTTCTCCGTTCGAGTCGTGGACATGCGGCGACATTTCCCAGCTCGGTGGGGAAAAAAGCCGTCGTGGTTGCGTAACGTCGCGGTAAGAGGCACTGCGCTTCGTCGAGATTCAGTGGCACAGAGAGCCTACGCCGGATACTATGCCCCAGGGGCCCGTTTACAACCACGTGCTGGAAATCAGCCCCGAGGGCTCGACGCAGGTCCGGGTCGAATGCGGCTCCGATTCTTTCGGGACCGTAACTGCCGTCGGGTTGACGGTCGGCAGACTGGGGCGCCGTGGGTGAGACCATCTCCCTCGCCCGTCACGCAGGAGGCCGCCGTGGGTTCGATCCCAATATCCCGTTGGACTCGGGGTCCCATCGGTGCTCGCCGGTCGCACCGTGGGTAGGAGCGAGCGGGCCCCATGCCTCATCTTGCATGACTAATTGCGGACTCTAATTGCGTTACACCGGGTTATTTTTTTTCTTTCGATTTTTATTATTGTATTGTTTGTTTGTATTTTTTTTTAAAGAAAGCATTTATATAGTGACTTGATAGCGTGCGCGCGCACACACACACACCTTTCTATCATTCGTGTCTCGAGCGTTTGCATGTCGCATCGTTTATTTTGGTTAGTAAAAAAAACCTCTCGCTCCGAAGGATATTTGCTCATATTTAAATTAACATTTTGGCAACCGGAAGATAAAAAAAGAAAATAATCTCTGTATAAAAAAAAGCCTTTATGTTGCAGTCGTTGTGTACAGTATCCGTATGCTTCCAAATTGAAAGCAGTTTAGTGGTGAAATCCTTTAAAGTATGAGTTCTGTGTTGGTAACCGTTTGCCGTTTATCATAGAGAAGTGAAGTGCCTCCTGTTCTGTCTCCCAGCGTGCCACCGGTGTTCAATCAATACTTTATATCGGCCCTTTATTTGACTGTATTAGAGACACGTGCTATGATGTACATTTTTCGTTTATATTACTCCTCAATTTATAACACTTTGGCTGTACGCTTATGTGTATACTCTAGACAGTGTTACTTGAACGGAATAGTTCATAATTGTTTTCCAATTATGTTGTGCGGTGTTTTATTAATGAACACTACCAAATAAAGTGCTGGTATCTGCACCGGTGGGTCTTGGCCGCTCGAGTGTGATTCCCTGCTGCGGCGCGCGTGCAAGGAGCCGTGGTGGGGGGGATCGGGGAGTCAGCCATCGACTCCGCAAGCGAAAAATGAGGACGGAAAAGTGAAACCGCGGAATGTGATGCTCGGAACTTTCAGGCGCGCGGGGGCAGCGGTTAGCGCGCTCCGCTACGAACCCCCGAGTTCGATCCCCGTCCACGGCGAACACCAGTGAAGATGATCTGCGCCGGCCCTGGGCCGCCCCTAGATCTACTCGGCCGCAGATTAGTACCAGGTGCGGAGTGTGTAAACGTCGCTACAAAGGGAGGCAAATGCGGCTCGGATTGGTGCTGCACACCGACCATCTGCTGTAACGTGCCGGCCTTCATCGGTGCTCGCTAACATCACTTTCCCCAACAGTCTGGTAAGTCTATATGGGGGATATTTGTTTTTTTATTTTACACACGAGACACACCAGCCAGCCAGACACTAGCCCTAACTCTAGCCCTGGCCACACTAGTCAATCAGACCCTACCTCAATGCTTTATGCCAAGCCAATCAGATTCTCGCCCTTGCTGCACTGAACAACTAAACCCTAACCCTAACTACACTCGCTAACCAGAGTTTAACCTTAAGCCTTGACCAGCTAGCCAACCAGCCATTAGTGCTCACTATATCCCTCACCCTAACCACTTGCACGAGCTATACCCGTACGCCCCTTTGTCAATCCACTGCTGGATGAGGGCCTTCCCATGCCGTGACGGTCATGGGGATCATTTGACCCTACTTCACTACACTGATCAGTGGGAGCGTCGGCGAGGAGCGTAGAACTACGGGACAATGTCTTTTTTGCTGCAGTGCCCTCCACGTAGCCAGGCAGCAGGCTATGACACCCTGCTATGCGTGGTGGTCACGGACCCATGCACTATCCAGGCTCAACTCTGCTTAGGTTCTAAGCTCCTGGATAGATTTGGTGCATTCCGGATGATTTGGTCATCGGCAGGAATCATCGCAGGAGTTAAAACACAAATGTACGGAGTTATTTTTGGATGAAGTTTTTTGCGAAGGGCTTATGAATTTGTATCCGCACCGTGGGCTATCCAGTCAAATACGGCTCTGATTTTTCGGACAATGACTGCCGTGAAGTAGCTTTGAAAACTGGGGCGCCACGGTGAGATGCAATCTTCCTCGCCTGGCACGCAGGAAGTCGTGGGTTCGATCCCGATTCCTGTATATTTGGAGTTCACGTGTCTCTCTCGCCCCGTGGTCTCGTGGATTGTTCTCCAGGTCCGATTTTCCCCTCCACATTTAGTTTCAATTTTTGTTTCGATTATTTGGCTGCAACTGTGCATCCCCACGTGTTATAATGATATAAGCCACGTTGATAAGCTATCACGTGTGGCCAGGTTGCCCTTGAAAAAATAAAGAGCTCATAGCTCAGTGAGCTTTACCTGGTAAAGCAAATAAATAAAAACTGGACTTGCAATTCCAGACATCGATGGTTCAATTCCATCTCCCGCCTCCGTCCGTCCAGCAGTATAAATAGGTATACCACATATTCTTGGTTCTTTCGGTAAAGTCACGTAGAAGGGAAATAACAAAAATAAAATATATATAAAACAATAAAAATATACCACAGTCGATTTGGGCATGTGTGTGGGTGGGATTAAGTGTGGGTACGTGCACACCTATTCCAAAGATCCCGTGGCGTCTTTCGCAAGAGTAGACCGGCCGTTGCGTGCAAAGCGTCATAGGTCCACATTTTGCCAAATGTTGAAAAATTACCCGCAAATTTACTCGGCTCGATTGGAGAATACAGCACAAATGGCATTTATCCAAACACCAGATTGGTAACGCGTCAGGAAGCACGCCTAGCCACCAGAGGGAGCGCGAGAGCAAGCGGTGACCGGAATGACGGTGACGGTCGCTCTCGGCTCGAGAGGAGTAACCGTGGCTTAGAATGCCACCTACCGCCCCAGTGCCCAAACACCAGTGGGGGTGGGGTGGGGGGAGGTAACTATTTTCCGGAGCTCAGTCCCGAACAGCTCCGCCTGAAATTAAGCCCTGGGTGTAATAAGACATAGATTCATCTGTTAATATCGCCTCTTTAAAATCAACACGCGTTGGCTTTCGCGAGAAAAGGGCACGATTCATAATTAGCATGTTTGGTCAGCTCGCGTGAGTATAATGCCAATGTGTGTCGTACACCCTTCTCCACCCGACACGGCCAAATAGAATAAAGCTCCGACGTGAACAAAGACATTGCTTCTGCACACCGGTATGTCGAAGAGCTATCCACCACACTTAACAATTAGGCCCGGTCCGTTTCTCTGGCAGTTGCAACCAGCATCATCAAGCGAGTAGCAGAATTGTTGACATACCGCACATGAAAGGTCGTCGGAGCCGCTGTACTGTATGTAACTATTTCCTGTGACGATACTGCGTTGTGCTGTACAGGAGGCTCATTGCCCGAAACGTTGCCTATTTTATGTTTCCATGTAAGGCCACACAGTGTTGTTAACGCATGTTGTTGAGTGTTTTGTTTTATGCCCGATGGTCACCCATCGGATGGCTATCCGGGCTCTAAGCTGCTTCGCTGCCGAGATCTGCACTACGAGGTCGGGTGAATGCCACGAGATTTGCCCACAGGCTCACCTCGTGGGGACGTGTTTCAATTCGCGTACGCAAGAATCGATGTATTTTCTATGAGCAAGTAAACTAAACAATTTATTAAAATTTTACCAGGTAAGGCCCAATGAGCTAAAAAAATAATGTTTTTAACACTTCTGAGAATTTGCAACAATACCACGAGAAAATGTGCCTCATCCGGGCTCTGGAGACCACGTGGAGGAGATTCGAGGCAACGCGTTGACAATGATGGCGAGCAAGTGGAGACCCTTTGACTTTTTGAAGCTATCAACATACATTTGTTATCATGTTCCAGTGTATTATCCGTTCTTTTTCCATTTAAAACGATAGTCCCATGTTAGTTTGAAGTTTTCGTGACTACAGGGATTCATACTCTTTGGTTTTTTCGGTAAAGTCACGTGACTTTACCGAATGAACCAAAGAGTATGGATCCGACATAAGTGTTACAAAAATTTGAAGCATCCTGTATATAGCTCTTTTTTCAGAAGCGACCTGGCCACAAATTAGCGTTCAACGAAGTGGCTTATCGTCACCATGTGTAAATGTATTGCAGCCAAATAATCTAAACGCACGTTTCTAAATGTGGGGGAGGGAATCTGGAGAAAAATCTACCCGACTACGGGAAGAGAGACACACAAACTCCAAATATACAGCAGGCGTCTGGTTCGTGATCGAACCCAGGGCCTCCTGCGTACCAGGCGAGGTTGTTAACATCTCGGCCACCGTGGCGCCCCTGTGACATGGAGCAGAGTCTGTTTTCAGAGGGGGCGAGGCGAGGAGGAGGGATGCAGAATGGGGGTGGCCACAGCCGAAGTCGCGTGATTCGCAGGAGGCGTGAAGCCGCTTTAGATTCGTGGCACGCGTGATGGGCTCCAAGTGAGCGCTGCGGCCACCAGAGGGTGCTACGAAATTCACCGCGGAGTTAATTTTTTGTTTTACCAGGTCAGGCCCCACTGAGAGATAGAAAGCATTTTTTTCAGAAGCGACCTGGTCACCAATGATATAGCTCAACAAAATGGCTTATCGTGTGGAGGGGAAAAAAACCGGAGGACCCGGAGAAAAATCCACGCGACCACGGGAGGAGAGACAACGCAAACTCCAAATATACAGCAGGCGTCAGGGTTGGGATCGAAGCCACGAAAGTGAATCTCGGATCGCGACGCTCCACAGAATCGGCTGTGCGCCGAATCGCGAGGTATGTACATCGAAGGGCCTTTAAGCGAAATGTGGAAGTCTCGCTGCTGGCACGGGGCTCGTGGGACAGACACCCCACCCCAGGTGGTTGCCACGGGTTGACTTGACCGAGTTGACCCGCAGATGCACCCACCCGCGCTCTCCACCGGCCCGTCGCTCCGCTCGTTGTTGGAGGGCGACTGCAGACACCAACTCGTCCCCGGTAAGCGTCCACCAAACGAATCGTTTCCCTGCACGCACGCACTCACGCCCATAACACCACCTCCGTCTCGCATGAAGCCAGGCAAGGGCCTGGGGCTGCTGTGGTTGGTCTCACGTTCGAGGGACGTCGTCGTCGTTATTGTTACGTGCCGTGGAGATCTCCGTGAAGCCTTAACCAGTGGCGTCAGTTGCTGCATTATCAGCTAATGGGGGGCTCCAGTTGGTCAGGTGGTGTGGGGGGCAATATTTGATTTGTCTCGCACGGTCGCACCCAGACGTGGTACGGGTTACCTCGCCGCTCATCTCTCTACCTACTAACCGCTACGCTCACGGTCTCGAACATTTATCGCTGCAGGGGCGCTCCGTTTTAAATCAGTTCTTGTTCGCTAACACCGTTGTTGAGAGAACACGGTGGTTGTCAAATGGGGACCTAACTCGTAGCTTTGGCCATCGGGCGGTGGGTGAAGGCCAAGGCAAGCCCTCCTGCGCCCGCGGTAGTTACGCGAATGAGTCGGACTCTGCCGAATGTGGAAACCGCTTCACGGTTTTGTTTTTGTGACTGATTCACAATTGCCGCCGGAGTTTAGCCACTTTCAAGAGGGCCCTGCGGCTGATGTCAGCGGTTGGCAGCCTTCTCGAGTGTGAGGACCACTTTCACCACCACCACCACACGCTACTCGGTAGCTATTTGCATACCTGTCAACCGCTTATCACCTTAGGGCCGTCCATAAATGACGTCACGCGATTTTGGACGATTTTTGACCCCCCCCCATCGTCACACGGCGTCATAAAAAGTCAGATCCCCTCTCAAAAATGACGTCACAAAGCTCTGCCCCCCCCCCAAATAAAACATGCTTTAAATCGGTTTAAACTATTGTCATTGTAGTGCGTATTTAATGTGGCGCTGCACTCTGAAGTTGTAGGAGAAAACATGTATTAAAAAGTC